CCAGTATTTTGGGAGGCTGTGGCGGGCAGATCACTTAAGGTCAGGAGTTCAAGACCAGCCTGGCCAACATGGTGAAACCCCATCTCTACTAAAAATACAAAAATTAGCTGGGTGTGGTGGTGCACACCTGTAGTCCCAGCTACTTGGGAAGCTGAGGCAGGAGTATTGCTTGAACTCTGGGGGCAGAGGCTGTAGTGAGCCGAGATCATACCACTGCAATCCATCTCCAAAAAAAAAAAAAAAAAGAAAGAAACAGGGTGTTGCTCTGCCACCAAGGCTGGAGCACAGTGGTATGATCACAGCTCACTGTAACCTCAGGCTCCTAGACTTAAGTGAGCCTCTGGCCTCACCCTCCCAAGCAGCTGGGATTACAGGTGCATGCCACCAAGCCCAGATAATGAATTTTTTTTTTTTTTTTTGTAGAGACAAGGTCTCACTATGTTGTCCAGACTGATGTCAGACTCCTGGCCTCAAGCGATCCTTCTGCCTCAAGCAATCTGAGTTGTTGGAATTACAGGCATGAACCACTGTACCTGGCCGGAATATTTTTATTAACAACTGCACTGTTCATATTTATCCTCTGAAAATGAGATATTTTTCTTATTAACAACTGCACTGTTCATATTTATCCTCTCAAAATGAGATAAAAACCTTGAAAATACCAGAGTCCTTCACTAGTTTCACACTGAATATTATTAGGATGTTCAGACAAAAAAATAGGCTTATCGTGGAAAAAAATTTCTGGGAGAAATAAAAATAGCATAAACCTTATCCCTACCTGATAGCTTCTTCCACAGACTGGCCAATAATATTAGAAGAAGGACCAGGCTGAGATAGTGGAGTCAGGCTTATCACCCACTTCACTGGCTTGTAGTACTCATCACTGGAACTTAACAGATAAAATAGGGTGGTCAGGAAAATTATCTGCAAAACAAAGGACAGTATCTCCTAAAAAATCGTATTTGGAAACTATAGGAAGAGAGATATCTGCAACTGCAAATGAAACCAGAAATATGCTTCAATGGGGAAGGAAACGGGATGTATACTTATCTATGTGGACATACCAGAGAAAGTACAAAATTGAGAAGGGCCGTCCCGCTGTAGAAGAGGATGGTCAGGAGTGTAGTGACAGTGGTGAACAGCAGGCTCACATTTCGGCTCATAACAACCCACAAAGACTCCAAGATCTGATGAGGAGAGAAAGCTGGATATCAGAACCAATCCTCATGAAAAAAGTGTCTACAGCCATCTAGTATGCTTTTAATACAATGTTTTAGTACCATGAACTGAAAAGCTAAGAACTGAGGATTATTTCAAAGGAAAATTTAAAAAAAAAA